CAGTTTCTTTTCTGACAGGTCTCGCTTGAGGAACTCTCTTCCTGCTCCATGCTCTCCAGCCAAATTTGATCTTCAAAAATTTAAATTTATTGTGAGTCACTATCTACTGTCCTCCTGGTTACTCTTCTTTTGTTCTCACCTCTTAGTAACATTTCTGTTTTCTAATACTTCAACACCCAATAACCGCTTGTGTCTTAGAGACGTTACCGAATGGCTTGGGGTGGACGCGATTGAAAATAATCGGAAGAGTGTCGTCTTCCATCAGAACTAAACCAGACCTCATGTATATTTACCGAAACGCCAGAAATTCATACAACTTGTGCGACTATATCCACATTACTCGTGTTTTGAAATACCAGTAGTTTAGAACGCTACAGAATTAATATATACTAACAAATGCCTCCCTATCGGGCGACATTTAAGCTAGCTCCTATGAAGTCTTCTTTATTGGGCTTTCATCAAAATAGCTAGGGAGTAGTAGATGGCATAGGCAACAATAAAATACTGATGAACTCAAAATTGATTACTGCATTTAAGTATTACATTAATATTTACACTTACCTTTTGAAAGTTCAACGATAATTCTTCTACCGCCACTTAATTTAGAGACAATTTGTTGTACGTAAGTCCTTACTTTCCGTAAAAACAATTATTTTTATTTCACTGGTGACTCACTTAATTTCGCAATTAATTTCGATATTTATTTCAAAATTGATATCGTACAAAAAATTAGTCGCAAATATCACGTGAAAATATTGCAGTAATGAAAACTTGGAAATCCAAAATTTGTTTCCGGCCTGGAATATTTTTAATTTGTTCACTAAGTGAGCCTGATTCCCAAATGATATGATATGTTGGGCTACGGCCTGTAGGAGTAAAGCTGAAAACACGGCCAATTTTATCTTCAAACACTGCAGTTTGAGAACAGTAATCTTTTTCATTTGAACATGAGCTATTGAACGTTAGAGAGTTGTGTCCCTTTAAGTTGAAAAAGTTTGATACAGTGACACACTGATATTCGCATTTATTATATAGATGAGCAGAATTTCAATTATCTGAAAACTTGTATAAGAAAAAGTAACGACCAGTTCATCACCCAGAAAATAGTCAAGTATTGGGAGAATGGAGGCTCCCTCAGAGATATCGAAACATTGTGAAACAAAACGGCACATTGGTGCTTGAATATAACTATGTACACATGTTTAAATAGAGTTTCTGAATTTAACTTTAAAAGCTTTAAGCATTTTTGTACTGAGTATAACAATGTCTGCACCTTTTAATAAATACGGGCAGATAGAGGGTGAGATTATGTGTGTGTGAGAGAGAAAGAGAGAGAGACAGTGAATGAATACCAGCGACTGAGAGAGAGTGAGTGAGTGAGTGTGTCTAAGCCTGAGAGTGCGTGAGACAGACAGAGCGTGAGTGTGTATGTGTAAGAATGTGAGATGCAAAGAGAGTGTGTGTGTGTATGAGAGAGAAAATGTGAGAGAATGCCTCAGACTGAAAGAGAGAGTGGGTGTCTGTGTGTGTATGTGTGCATGTATGCGTGAGAGTATGAAATACACACACACACAGAAAGAGAGAGAGAGAGAGAGTACGAAAGCCAGAGAGCGAGTGCGACTGCAAGAGAAAAAGAGAGAGTGAAAGTGAGAGAGTTCAAAGGAGAGATAGCGTGAGAGGGTAAGTAAGAACGGGCAAGTAGAAGGTGTGTGTGAGAGACAGAGAGAGAAAAAAAAACAGATTGTGTGTGTGCGTGTGAATGCTGGATAGTGAGTTTTGTGTGTGAGAGTACACAAGAGAAAGAGTTCGTGTGACAGACAGAGTGAGTGAGAGAGAGAAAGAGAGAGAGACCGGCCATCTGATTTCTATTGTAACCACACATTTTCTTCTCGAATGTGTAATTTCGTTTTTATACAATACACAACGAGAAAATATGAATGCGTCATCCCTTCAGGTCATCCCCATCTTTCATTAGGACTGCTTGTAATTTCATCTTTGTGCTTGTTAACGTACCAAAATATTCGACAATATTACCACCAACATCGCCTGTCAAGCCAAGCAGACAGAATAAACGACTACATTATAGACTTCCAATGTGTATTTGTGCCCTCCCCACTCCTCATTACTGGGGGCGGAGGATATATAGACGAAACCGAGATTTACGTATGAGTAACTGTTTTTTTTTTCTAGTACTACTTCATTTCTTCACGAGTTAATAAAAAGAATTTTCGAATTCATAACAAAGGGTGTTAATGATAGAAATATATCGTTTGTAACCAATTAGGAATATAAATGGAATAATTTCTGAACAAAAATGCCCGGGAAAAAAACAAACCGACTTACCAAAGTAATAGATAAATACATTATAACGTTGTCAGTTATGTCGGCACCAGTAATTATTTTTTTCCTTTTCTCTTCTTGTTGCCGGAACTGCCTGTATTGATTTCTATGGATCCATTTGTGTACATCCTATACGTACTACCCTTGATGACGTCATAATTCTATTAACGTCATAGTTCCATCAATATTATTATTACTATGTCTAATGTTTAATAATATGAATATATAAATATGTATACTAAATGAATAACTGCATTGTGTTACTTATGGCGATTTTCTAAGCATAGACGTGGCACAAGCCCGAAAGTATGGAGCGCCTAGTGAGAATCACGCCCTGTCGGGTAAGGCCTCAGAATACGACGACTGCATTCTGTATAAGGGTACACCCATCAATGAAGCCACCTGTTTGCTATGGGTGGCGTCCTGTAATGTCGGGAGAAGGGATCCTGGTAGTTGGGGGTTTCAGGAAACAGGGTTAGACACTTCTGATTGCTAACTGTCCACCTTGGCCCTTACTTGGACTAGACGGGCTGTCGGGGAGGCCGGATCCAATCAATCGGCTGGTGATGTTAAGCCCTAGCGCCTATAAATATATAAATAATTTATGGAGTACTTTATCACTAAATACAATACATGCGCTGGAATAAAATACAATCTCTCTCCAATTTATAGGCGCTAGGAGGCGATGGCTGAGGGTTCGAAGAGATCAGTCTTAGACATGGCTGTAAGCATACCAGTTTGTGCACAAGATAAGTGCATCAAATGACTCAACGGGTGCTCAGAGTTTCTCACGAATACGAGTATACTAGTTTGTGTACCCCTAACCTGTCAAGGCGACAGGGTTTCAAACTTGAGACGTCCAAATGTCGGGCTCCGGGGCGTGTTGGGAGCACAAGCAGTGAATTTTAATACATCAAAATTATGAATAACCAATTATGTATCCCCAAAAATATATTTCAGATTCTGATTCTGAAAAAGAAATAAATACCGACTTTCCAAGATTTATTGTGCTCGCATCCCTAGATGAAACTCCGCTAACAAAGCTTTCCCCTTTCTTAATTAAAAAGGCACTATCCAGTAAGATTAACTCCAAAACGGATTAAGAAATTGAGAAACGGAAATTTGCTGGAAGAAATTTAAAATAGGAAACGCCGAAAGTTTAATGAAGATGAAGGCCTTACATGACATCAAAATAAAAAAAAACTTCCTCCCCACTATGAAAGGTTGAATATTTGTAAAAGAGTCATTAAAAGCAGAGAGTTGCCTCTGCCCACACCCGAGGAAATCACATCTGCCTTAGGAAGAGAGGGGGTCAGTGATTATTGCAGAATCACGATAAAAAGGAAACGGGAAACCATAACAGCAGACAAGTATATCCTAACAGTCAACCAAAAAGTGACTTGACCCCAAAGAGTTGTGACTACAATTCCTGGTCACGGCGGAGATACTCAAAATCCTGTAGAATTATCAACGCGAATTAAATAAAAAATGAGATAATCAAAGACATGATACGGGGAATTAGAACAATCTATCCCCGATGACAAAATAAAGGTTTCGGTTAGAAATTCCAATAAATATCACTTAGAGAAGGCCGCAGCGTACAATAGCCGAAAACACCGTGAATGTGATTGTAAAAATGAGGACAATAAATGACACATGTAAACAGTGTAAATAGCTACAATATTTCATCTCAGAATCCTGAAGAATGCCGGAGCATACAAAGGCTGAAATGTTGTGAATATGAAAAGAAGCATGTAACAATGTAAATAGTGAAAATAGTTACAATACCTCTTCTCAGAAATATAAACAAAAAATATTCGTTAAAATTTTAGTGATTTTTTTTTTTTAAGAATTATTCAACATTTTAAATTTTTTTTAGAATAAATGTTTTATTCTTTCTATACTTGATCCAATTTAATTTTATACCTAAGCACCAAAACAATTGAGAAGTGAGAGTATCAGCAACGGAAAAATAAAATTTCATTCATTCAGAATTGAAAATGAGAGTGACGATTTCAACAATTCAATTTACTGTGACGTACACTGTCAGAAGCCTCACTAACAAACAGATTTAGATATTTCGAAAAAGCTGCTTATCTATTGCGTCGTATAACGTGGATTGTTCTCAAGAAAATATAAATCGCTGTCCGCCAGATAGATTCGCAAAACATTCTGGTTCTTTGATGTTCAATTTGAAAGACCGAAGGGAATGAGCAGTTTAGTTCCGCTTGATAGTAAAAGAAAGAATAAAAATAACTGATGATTTCGGTGACAGTTTTTGATATTGTCATTGGTTTGCCGTTCTTTTTTTTAACATAGCTAATTTGAATACTCAACTTTCAAAAGAAATTTAAAAAAAACATTAACTGAGTTCTATTATTAAATTGATTCATTCATTTTCTACGGCTTATCTACATTTTGCAGGTTATTTAAAGCCAGAAAATATTCTAGATTGTATTTTTTATATATAATAGTAGTTTAGTAATATACGTTTTACTAATTGCCCTTTAGCTGGAAGAGAAGTGTTGAATTCATGCCTTTTACAAGAATATTTGTCCGTAAGGGAATATAACGAATCCAACGGGAATTGAACTCAGCTCACTGGTTACAATTCCGAACCATTATCCACTAGACTGTTTTAACAAGGCAAGCTTAATGCAATCTGGTATTCTTAAGCGGCCATCCATCCAAGTACTGACCAGGCTAAACGTTGCTTAACTTCTGTGTTCGTACGGGTATGCCGGTGTTTCGACACGATGTGGCAGTAAGCCTTCTGAGAGAGAGATACCCATCGATCTTTTGTTATATCTGCAAATAAACGATTGTTTTTTTTTATGGGTCTTATAATTAAATCACTTAAATATTCTTCTCGAAAAATGGCAACCACCTTAGCATTTCGATCTCAGTTTTCGAGTAACGTACTTATACCCTATATAGAACTGCTTTAATTACGACAATTTACGTATTACAATTTTAAGGAATATGGAAATCTCTCAAAGAAAAGATTGCATACTGCAGTAGAACAAAACAACCGAACGTAACCTGCACAACGACTTGTATCTTTGCTCGTAGACATATAATGGAAACGAATGTCACTTCAATCATATAATTAAATTAATTTTATTAAGAAATAGGAAAATTACCTTAGAAACAAAGAAGATTGTATTGAGCTATTAAGTCACAGGTGAGATTTGAGGCAACAGAAATGTGGTTCTACAGAAGGATGCTCAGAATACTATGTGAATAACGAAACTTTTAGGGAAAATACAAATAAAAAGTTCGTTTCTGCTCACACAGACTTCAAAGAAGCTCTAAGCCCATACATTCTACACAAGTGGCAAAGGTTATGGAACTATCACCCAAACAAAAAATTTGACAAAATTAAAAGTAATTAAAAAAAATTTAAAACTTCTAGGAGAATGGCAAGTTGGTCTCAGATACTCTAACAAGGAAGAAGCTGTCCTATGAAGCATCGGAATAGAGCACACTTATACCAGTCCCTCATTTCTCCTAAAAATACGAACATCTTCCTGAATGAACAGCATGTCAGAAGATATCTGTCTATGAGATGAGGTATTGTAATTATTTACACTATTTACATTGTTCGGACTGTTGCCCTCATCTTTATTGTCAGATTCACGACGTTTCGGGCGTTGTACGCTCCAGCCTTCGTCAGATGCAATTTGTTGATTTATTTATTCAAAGGTGGTAGATTGATCGGAGCATGCCATTAGATATATTAGTTTCAATAATTTCTCTTGTTAACTCAACTACCCAAGTTATGTTCCCTCTGCTGTGGCCAGGAATTAAACTCACAATTTTTTGTGTCAAGTCACTTTGTGTCAAGTCACCCTCAACCATCGCTTCACCCACTGGGCCATATATCCTTTGGGAAAATTAATATCACATGAAGAATCTCGGAGCGTACAACGACCGAAACATCGAGAATATGGCAATAAATATGGGGACAACAGTCCGAACAATGTAAATAGTGTAAATGTAAAGCATATTTCAATCGATCGTTGGGACCTTTTGTATGTCAGCCATTCTATGTCATGACAAGTCTAGATACCTTTACAAGAAGATAAAAATAAAGGTTATCCTAGACTACGTGAAGGAGAATGTTCTATACCACAAATTATAACATTAGTTTTCCCCGCTCTAAAGGCATGAACTGGAAAGGGATAGAACCAAAGACCCAGAGGATTATTTACAAGCCATATAATTTAAAAAATAAAATACTTTCGGCATTAAACAATCGAAAGAATTGATATGCCTTTAAAACAGAACAATCGAATACTTCTATTTAGAAAGAAAGAGACAGTTTCACATAAGGAAAGGGGGCTTGGAGAATTTGATATTCACATGCCAGATTGAAGGTTAGAGAGACAGAAAAAATCTGCGAATAACCTGTACAACGAGCTTGTGTAGTTGGCACAACAGGGATCAGGGGAGATAGCGAAAAGAAACTTTACTAAGTGCTACAAATAACGGAATGTTGTGATTATTTAAAATCTCCCAGTTCTTGAAGAGACATTGGACATAGAAGGAGAAGACGTCTTGAAAAATGTTATTTGGATATAAAAAAGCGACATTCTGTAGTTAAGTAGTTTCAAAATGGCCCACGAAACGGACGCTCTGCTCTCGGAAACGTAAACAAAACGTACGACCTGCTCCCGGAAAGGTAAACAAAACTTAATAGAATTAAACACTTACCAAATATGTTTATACTAATGCATGTGGCAGTAGGTGAAAGATGGTGTAACGTTTCTAGAGTGTGCAATAAAATAGGGTATAGTTCTTGTAGTTTTGTTCCTCTATTTATTATCAACATACCTGCATATCTTGTGTTGTTAAGTTGCCGGCATTACGTTAACTATATTTTTTTCTTCGTAACTGTGCTTTGTTTTTAATATTTCTGTTTTTATTGCAATTATTATTATGTTTTAGAAGATAATTTGGTTGAATATACGTATAAAAACGGGGATATTTGCTTTCAATATATTAATTCCTTCTTAAAAAATTTACTCTTATAACTTAATAGAATTAAAAATTCAATGACTGTTAAAGTTGCAATTTTTTTTAATATAGAGAAGTTGAAATGTAATAAAATTTTCTTTATTCATTGCATCGATAAACGATTACCAAAAAGGATTTTTCGTAAAAGATCTTTAGAAAAAGAAACAACAACTTTTTATAAAAATTCATTTCGCCCTAAATAAAGCAGTAAAACCACTAAGACACAAGGGGTTAATGAATGTGAAAGAATATGAAAAGAAAAACATTATCAAGGGGCGATAACAATAGAAGACTATCAAGAAGACAGTAGATAACGATTGACATTCCATTCAAATTTTTGAAGATCAAAATTTGCTGGAAAGCAAGATCCCGGAAGAGGGTGTCACACGCGAGAAGTGTGAGAAAAGAAACTGTTAGCATCGAACCTACGGTTTCAACTAGCAATTTAAACTGTAAAAGTTTCAGGTTTTGAATTCAGAGATTTCTCTCTCCTAGTTTGTTTGATCTAACAAAACAGAAAAATCGAGTTTGATCTGTTATTTAACTCATCTATCCAATGTAACTGTTTCATTTTGAGTAAGTTTTAAAAGAGGTTTAGCGGGCGACTTGAAGTATTTTTACACAAAAATAATCTGGCGAAAGGTTCAGGTTTATTCTCTAAATAGAAAAACTGAAACCTTCGACAAGCAGCTTTGTTTAACAACTTTTAGCTTTATCTGTTTAATTATTTTGTAAACTGTATATAGGAAGACGAAAACATTAACATTTTTTATAATTATTTTCAAACAATTAATCCATTATTTTTAATAAAAAAATCAATCAATTCTTAAAGAGGCAAATCTAAAAACATAAGAAAACAAGAAAAGTTTTAACTTGTTTTCATTCTTCTTTCGACAAAGTTTTATTCAGGAATGTCGTCGCCGTCTAGTGCCATGGGCGATGCACTTATGGGTAAATGATATGAAAGAGAGAACTACACCACCATACCTTGCCTGAGTCTTGTGTTTGTTCGAACGATTGTACTAAGTCAGAGCGGTCTGTAAGAAAGAGAGAACGCCAAATATCAACTTAAGAAGCTTTATTCAGCTAAATTGAGCCATTAGTGATTAGACAGCTTTTATACAGGGTGGTTATTATTGAAATGGGTAGGATAGGATAGGGTCATTATTATCACAGAATCCATTATTTTCTGTCGCAGTTTGAAATAGGAGCAGTTTCTTTCTTAGTGATAACATGCGAGGTGGATTTGTTTTTGAAATTACTTTCTTTTAGACTTTCTTTCTACCTTTCTACGAGACAACACGTGGTTTGAATTCGGAGTTCTCCCAGACTCTTTAGCAAACAAGACTATAGGGACCAATCTGTCCATAACAAGGTGGGAAAAAAGATGGATTCATACCTTTCCTAAGGTGAATGCGTTGAACTCGATTGGAATTCGAACTCAGATCTCCGATTTCTCAATAACAGCCACTATCCATTAGTCCGCCGCTCCCCCATTGGGGAATTCATATAGCAAATAAAGTAGACAAAACATCAAAGCCAGGATATTACATATAGTAAATATTTAAACACCAAAGTCTTCACATCCAGGCCTAAAAGACACACCTGCTTATATATTTAACCATCATTGTGTCAGAATCTATAACCTTGACATATTCGCAGTATTGAGAAAGTTTAATTCGTCTTTCTATCTTTAAGCGTAAAATGTCGGATTAATAAATAAATCAATTACTGTTTTGTTTATGTTTCGGATACGAGCAAATATGAATCTTCGAGAATAAAATAATCTGGATGAAGAGGAAGCTGCCTTCCTTAAAACAAGGGGAAATAGGACCTCGCTTACTGCAGCCGAAATCATTTTATCTACTTAAAAATATTCGCTCCCTCGTTCCTGTTGTGTATAATCTCTTCGCTTCAGGGAATTGATCAAGTAGTACGTAAAAAGTGGCAGCCCAGCTAACACAGAACGGTCTTACAAAGGTTGCGGACGTGTTGTATTTTGTTGTATGTGTGCTTGTGACTCTACTACGTTACAGTAACGTCGGTACAATCAACTAATTTCTTGACCCCAAATTGACAGCTCATCACCAACGTTGTTATAATGTTCTGGTAATGTTGCAAAAGGCAGTAACAGAAAAGTTCTCGCTTTGCTGAAGGAACAACAGAATGCTTTTTTTTTCTTCAGTTAACAGTATGTATAAATATGGAATGACATTTCTTTTAGTCTAGTTTAAAATGAGAATCACTGATTTAGATCTTGAATGTCTAGGAATACTTAAATTCGTTTTTTTTAAATGTTTAAATTTGGAGTGTCGGGATTCGATATAACATAAAATATAGTTGTGGGAGTGCTCGTAATTCAGCCGTTTAGAATAATCTCAAGATTTTCATTGAAAGAATAACATCCATTAGAAAAAAGGCAATGTAGTATCAACAAATAAATTTAATATAAAGACAAAAATACAAGTTGGTTATGGATTTGAAAATAATATCTTTTTATTTTGGTTAATAAAGTTCTGGAATAGAATATAAATTGTATTTGTGTACGCATGTAAGAAACAGTGACATGTTGTTATATGTGTGTTAGTGTGAAAGAGTCAGTACGTGGGTGCGTGCTTAGTTGCAACTGAGGATAAAAGAGATCGTTAGAATTTGGTTCTTACTTTGAACTGTGCTGCCGTAGTTTGGAGAGGTCTCTTTGTAGTCTGTCAGCGCGGTGGGGTCTTGAAGATTAGCAGCTAGAC